CTAGTCCTGCACTGAGGGGCAAATCACTAAAAAAACATCCGCGATCGAAGGCTGTATTCTTTTCTTTATACGTCAAGCTTATACCTATGCCGATACCTATACTACACATGAACGTAGACATGGACATAGGCACATACATACATATACAGCGGCAGGTATTTGTGCATGCCTTCAGTTATCGGTATACAAAGACGGACGCATACTTAAACATGTACAGACTCATGCATGATTGCATGCTTGCCTGATTGCAGGCGTGCATGCCTGCTTGCATTCTTGTATTTCTCTATGTATGACTGAATGAATTATACATATATCAAGCCCGGAGGTGTCCGGGGGAGCCTCCTCAGCCTGCTCCTGGCCACAGTGGCCCTCGCAGCCCAGGAGGTCGGAGAGGCCATGAGATTCATTAGATTGGGAGGTTCCGGGCGGCGGGTTTTTTAGCTTTGGAGTTCTGATCTCACACTTCATCCGAAGTTTGAAGCCTTTGTATGCGCACCTTTTGAGAAGTTGGACCTTTGAGTTCATGTCGTCACCTCTCGCAGCCGCTGCGACAGGAGAACTTGTACTGCAAGTGCACCTGGATAGACAACTGGTGGTTCCACCTGGTCGAGGCGGACATGTCGACTAATTGGGTTGCGTTTGGAATGATGTATTGTGGTGTGGGAACAAGGTAGAATGCGGCGTAGGTAAGCGATGCTGGAAAAACATGAAGTTTGTCAACGGTTTTTTGTGCGTTTCTTGACATTTCGCATTTCCTTCCCAATGATTGGCTTGATGATTCCTTGTCAGGCCTGCATTCTAGATAAAGTTAGCAGTTAGCATGTCGAGCGTTGTATCAAGAGGACAGCATTCGTTTTTGTTTTCCTTTTCGTCGTTTGATCGAAAGTTGCAGTGCTTCGGGCTTTGATGATTGTCGGTTCCATTGCGTTTCATGGAAAGCTCTTGGACAGTTTGCGGAACCCTATTCCCACACGTGCTTGTATGGAGGAGCTTCGGAAGTAGGACAACCGCGTTAGTGGTCGCATCGCAGCCGAAGCGCGGCGCAGGACTTGCCACGCATTCTCGGATCTCCGAAAGATGGGGACGTGATGTTTGTCCGCGATGTCGCAGGCGGAATGGCAAAGCGATTTTGTTGAATAGCGTAGCAGTGGCTTGAACACCTGCTGGGCGAGGCTTTGGATGTTGCCTTATACAAGTATGAGGGTACAATCCGGGACGAGCTGTTTGTGAAAACATATGCAAGCGTGGCATTCATTGGTTCATCTCTACAACCCGAACTGCAGCCCTCAGAAACCTGACCATGTCAAAAGGGTTAGTTGCCGAGCACGGGCAAACAAGTGTAGGAACGACAAAACCTGCATTGCCCAAACCAGGGATGAGGGCTTAGCAACTGTCCGCCATCCTGCGCCGTGCTTCCTCCAAACCCTCATCTTGCAAGCACTCAGCCTCAAAGCACGATCCAGCCTTAGTTTGTCGGCCTCACATTTTGTCAGAACGCCCTACATAGCGCCCCGACTGCTTTGAAGGTAATGCCAGCCGGAAGAGCTTGCCTTCCTGGCAGCTGCTGGAGAAGTTGGTTTTCAACGAAAGGCGCGGAAAATCGCGGAAACATCAACAGGGCGTTGCAGACTTTTTGAGTTTCGAAGCGAATCTTCCAGAGGTTAACCCTTCGTGCTGCTGCCCGTATCTTCCAGACAGCTTCTACCAAATAACCCTTTCAAGCAGTGTACCTTGTGTTTGGCATTCACAAGGATGCAGGCCGTGGTGGAGGCTAGATTAGCGGCTAGATCTTCTCATGCAACAACAGGTTGATGCGTTATTACAAATTTCGAAGCAACGAATCTTCTAATGTTTTGGATCCCGAAATTCGGCACGACCCGAACCTCTGGCAATGTCCTATATAGCGGAACCTGCCTAAGCGAGTAGAGCACTCGCGTTCAGACGAAGACTTGTGCGGTTTTGTGCCTGCGACAATCTGCAGAATCAAGCCCACTGAGCAGCAGACGCAGCCTCCAGCAAGATGGTGGCATCCCTGCTCCGCAGCCAGCCAAGGAGCGCTAAAGCCTTATAAGTGTCTTCAGGAAAACACGGAGACATCCATAGAAACCGTCAATAAGCACCATGGACCTTCAACTGGCCAGGCTGTGTCAGCACGAATCGTCGCTGCTGGAATTGCTGTCAGGCCGTCACCGAGTATTTTCCTTTGTAGGTTCGTTTCCGGAGCTTGAAGGCGGGCCACGTGTAAACTTCTCATGACAGTACGCTGCAAGCCAATCAATTCAAAGGCTACCTGAGCTTACAACAAGGTTTCTAGTCATGTGGTTGAGGATGCTCGAACAGTGGATGTTGTTGTTCAGGCTTGTCCTCACTGAGGCGATCTATCCTTCGAGCAGCAATCGACCTTCAGTCCCGATTGTCTGTGTCCTTCTGAGCCCTTCTCGCCCCAAGCGCCGCCAGATCCTAGAACGGATCCGTTGCGACGGGTGAGATCCATCTCTTTCCCATACAAGACTATTACCATAGTAATACTATAACGTTACTATAGCAATAACCTACGTATAATAAGCCTATCCCCTAAACCTTAAACCCCCAGAGACTCCAATACCCCTTAATTAAGGAACATACCTTAAATCTTATTAGGTATCCTACTATAATTTAAGGTATATTCCTTAATTAAGGAGTATTGGATTTTCTGGGCCTACAGCATACCTATCTGGCCAGTCCAGAGCCTCTGCGTCCCCGGAGCGCTGGCCACGGACTTGCTGTGCACGCAGCCTGGCCATGGACATTTCCGAAAAGAACGGTTTAGGGTTTAGGGTTTAGGGTTAGGGTTTAGGGTGTAGGGTTTAGGGTGCCCTATTTTTGGGGGTCCTTATAATGAGGATCCTAGTATATTTAGGGTACTATACTAGGGTCCCCCTATTTTCGGAAGCCCCCAGTTGGTTTTTGAGTTTTGCATTGTCATGATCATACCCAAAATTCACAATGATAGGAACCTGTGAGTGATAACAACATTATTCAGAGTAACTCGCATATTGAGAGGAGACGTATAGTGTCATGGAAGGAAGGCTGCTTGTAGCAGCGATAGCAACAGTGGCATTAGCAGCAGCAGCAACACCGACACCGACCCGAGGCATGAACAGTTCAGGTTCGCACATTCTGACCCTCCAGAGCTCTCTATGTGGGTAGTTGTCAAAATTATGGTTCCTTTTGGGGTACCCTAAATAATAGGTGCCGTATTATAATAAGGACCCAAAAAGGGACCATAATTTTGACAACCACCCATGTTCAAGCCTCGACACCTGTCGACTTAGAGACCTTATGACCCGGTCGTGAGTCTGAGGCTTTGCCGAGTGTCTGTGTCGAGAACTATTGAAGCAACATGGGCCGGGGCCCATGCTGTAGATGCCCCAGCCTTTTCCGGCTGCTCCCCTCGCTTCCGGCCCCCAGGCTCTACTACAGCTTTGCCTTCCGCAGCACGGAGCGGCTCCTGCTCCTTGCGGCGCGGCGCGCGCGGCGCCTGCGGCTGCTGTTCAACCAGGTGGGGAACTAAGCCTGACAGAACGGGAAGGTTTCCGGATGCTGGAGTCAGGATGGGAGTGGTCGGGGAGTGCGGTAGGGGATGTGTGTGTGTGTGTGTGTGTGTGTGTGGTGTGTGTTGTTTGGCCACCCAAGACAGCTTTAGGCCCTGACGCACTTCACTTTCCCTGCGTGACATTTCTGCAGGCCAAGGCGTGTTTGGATGCCACTCCTTGGCCCTTCGACATCGAAGACCTCGAAGAGCCTTCCACGAATGGGGCGGGGAATTTGGGTCCTCGGGATGTCATCGACGTGTATTGATGTGTAGGGCATCATGCCGGTTTGCACGGGCTTTGTTGCCCACGGTTGCGGACCGAAGAATGTCGGATTGTTGCATCTTGGGGAGCAGTTAGTCTATGACCGGGGCAGTCGCTCTCGCTGGATCTGTGCAGCGTTCCCACCCAGAGGAGTTTACCAGACGCTGGCTGGAGTTCGAGGCGCCTGAGCTCAACAAAGTCCGGCCCAGCCCGATTAAGCCAGGATGTCACATGTTCCGAACTAACGGCTGCTGGCGGCGGCCATGGCGGTGTAGCTACCATCTCGCACTGGGGCACAGTATGCAAGCTGCATCTTGTCGGACATACTTGATGGTGCATGTATGCACAGTGCTTCCACCCGTAGGCTCCCAGCACGCGATGGAAAAAACCGAACCTACACTCCGGTCTCTCCATCCCATCATGTCAATAGAAATAACATGGGTATTTATGTATATACACATATACATACATGAGAATCTATATGTGTGTATATATACACACATACATACACTATACATATGTATAGAGAGAGAGAGACATACGTGTATACAGGTTTCACGCAAGTATATCTCTGTATATGTATGTGTATATACATATGTGTATATATATATATGCATGCATGCATTCACACATGCACACACTGGTTCAAGCCCACCAGAACCGAGAGCATCTTATGTACACGTGTATCATACTAGCATAACTTTCAACGTGTCTGTATGCATGTACGTACGCATGGATGTATGTGTGCATGTATGTATGTATGTATGTATGTATGTAGGTAGGTAGGTAGGTAGGTAGGTAGGTAGGTATGTAGGTATGTAGGTATGTAGTAGGTAGGTAGGTATGTTTATGTACGTATGTATGTATGTATGTATGTATGTATGTATGTATGTATGTATGTAGGTATGTATGTATGTATGTATGTATGTATGTATGTATGTATGTATGTGTGGTGTGTATGTATGTATGTATGTATGTATGTATGTATGTATGTATGTATGTATGTATGTATGTGTGTATGCCGGTGTGTATGCCTGTAGGTCTGTATGTATGTATGTATGTATGCATGTGGGTATGCATGTGCAGGGACGCATGTTTGCGTGCCTGTATCTCTGCATGCATGTATGTGTATATATATATATACAAATACATACACACACTTATATTTACATGTTTATATATATATATATATACATACATACATACATATATATTTATATATACATATGTACATGTGTATACATATACACATGTGTGTGCCTACTCTGTACAGGGGTCCATACCTGCATACATGCATACATACACGATATACACACACCTTCATTTTGACAGACAGCATGTGCGGTTATATTATATCGACAGGCGGAGGTTTGGCCGCCTCAGGGGACTCCCCGTGTGGAGGAGGCCCCACCACCGCCACGCTGGACGGGGCGAAGCAAACCAAAGCCACGAAGCTCCCTGGCCCTTTCAGTCTTTAGGGCTTTAGGGTTCGGAGTTAGGGATTCATAGTTTAGGGTCTGGGAATTTCCCTTCAGGCGATTGCACAAGCCCTGATGCAAAAAGATTCTGGGAAATTTACCTACGACTGGTCACACGCGAGGTGTAATAGCCGGCGGTCGAAGGCAGCAGAAGTTCTAGATGTTCCCAGCTTATGTGATCAATTCCATCACGACGTTTTACACAGGGCATGAGCAGATGTCACTCTCGGTTTGTGGTGTGCGTGTCATTTCGGTGAACTAGCATCTTCTCTAGGCTCGCTACCTGCAGACCTCCGTCGGTGCATACCTCTGCAGCTCCTTGCCCAAGAGCTTCATCTAGATGTGATGATGCACGAGCTGGTCAAGTTGGGCATTGTCGGTTGCAGGCACTTTGACGATGGCACGTACATGAAGGAAGGTTGCTTGAGCAGTAATTCATAGAAATGACTAGCATCACCAGCAACAGCAATAGCGGGAATTGTTTTCGGAGGCTCAATCACTTGACAATCTCGGAGATTCCAAGAGTCCTGCAGCAAGGCGCGGGGCTGCTGCCAGTCAGAGCTCGATGGCAGCACACTGCTACTTGCCTCTTGGGGGTCTTAGGGTTTTAAAGGGTCAGGGGCTGAAGTTTCTGATCAGGAGGTATTGAAGCATTTTTGCTGTTCAGCGTGCTTACAGCGATGACACAGGATGTTTTCAAACGTCGGTTGGCATGACGGCTGTACACGAGGGCAGTGACCGCGAAGGGTTAAAACCGTTCTGGGTCCCAAGGAACTTTTTTGGAGCAGACGCAAGTGCAGGATGCGCTCCGGACGTCGTCTTTGTGTAATGTAGGAGCCTCAGACACTTTGCAAATAGTTAGGTTTCGCTCGTCCCTGCTCCTCTCTGTGCTTCCGTGACAAAATTATATTTGCACATACACGCATGATAAGCATGTTCCCTGTATAATCACATATATATATATATACACATGTGTGTCTATTTATACAGATTTATAGGTTTACAAACAAATCATCCAGAGTACAATGTTCCCGGCTGCAGTTGTCCTCCATACGAGTACGTGTACAGCATCACTCCCACACACGTCCGAAAACCACTGCATGCGACCAGCTCTACAACATAATGTTGACACCCCTCCGCCCATAATCGTAGACTGCCCCTAAACTTTAAACCCTATTCCTAATGCCCCTAAACCTCAAACCCTGAAGCCTGAACCTCCATCCTTCACCCTGAATGGTAGGTTCGTCTTACCATGGAGGGAGGCAAAGGAGCCTTAAAGCTTGTAAACCCCCGAGCCCGACACCCTAACAACAGCTCGAAACCTTTAGCACTGAAGCCCAAATCCTGAACCCTCAAACCTCCGAGTCGTTGTGGTTTTTGTAGGAATCCTGCACCTATACCCTAAACCCTAAACCCTAAACCCTAAACCCTAAACCCTAAACCCATCCCTGCAGGTTGGGCCCGGCGAGCCACCTCAATGGATTCGAGCTGCAAGGTGACCTCGGCACTAGGGAATTCAGACAGATTTTCTGCGGGGCGTACCGGCCACTCGCTTTATCATGTATCTGCCCAGAGACTCCAATATTCCTTAATTAAGGAATATTCCCTAAATTATTAGTAGGATCCTTAATATGATTTAAGGTATATCCCTTAATTAAGGGATATTGGAGTCTCTGGGTGATGAGTTTTGAGCGACCGCACGAGAGAAAGATACGCAAAGTCTCAATGTTCCCTAGCATCCCATCCCTATTCATATACCCTTCCGATGTTTCTTCTGAGCTCTGCTTCAGTTTGAGGCTCTGGCTTAAGCCAGATAGCTGGATCGTCCAGTTCCACATTGGTTCGAAGCCAGGGAAAACCTGTGAGCAATCCTGGGAGAAGCTTGCTCGCGAAGCGGCACCTCGTCGGAGACTGCTCTTGCCCTCTGAGGTTTGAGATCTGCCGTAGCCCTACGGAGCCAGTGTGGCAAAACGCTAAAAACGTGTAAGAGCCAGTACATCCATCCTTGCCGCACACACAGGATTGTTGCGATCCACGCGCTTTGGCTGTGATTTAGCTTTGGGACTGAGGCTGCATAGAGCTCGAACGGTCGGGACTGTGGGACATGTGGCAGCAGGTTTATCATTTGGTGCAGGAGGTTCTGGTGTCAGACTTGGGGTTGCGATGCAAGGCGGCTTTCAGTTCGGGTCGGGACTGGTTCGGATCTAGGAGGTGCCAAGTTCTCGTTTGGAGATTCTCTTGCGGAAGCTCCAAGTAGCAACAATGACAACGATGGCGTCGAGAAATGCTACGAGAGGGGCCCGCAACCACAGCGGCGGCAGTTCGCCAAGAATATCCACATCCCACGCAGCCCCAGACCGCAAAGCTTGATCCTTTGAAGCGTATTTAGAAGATTGACTGTGCTCGTTTGCCCGCAAACACTTCTTACAGTTTTCCTGGCAGAACCGGACGTTTTCGAGCCCTTGGCTGACCCTTTTAAGTTAAAGTCTTTACAGCTAGGGTTGCCGCAGTCTGGGGCAGGCGGGTGTTAGGTATCATAAAATATTTAGGCAGCGCACTGACCCTCCCATTGCGTCAGAGGCTTTCCGCGTGGGCGGAGAGAATGTTTCGGCGGAGTATGGACGTTTGAGGCTTCGAGCGAGGGACGGTTACGATGTGTGCCACAGGACACGTCCAGTTCCCCCGACTTTCCGAAGCCTGCAGAGCCTGTCTGATAACCCATGGGGCATGCAACACAGGCCTCCTGATAGAAAAGGCGTCAGCGTGGTATGAAAAGAAGTGTACTTTTTAAGTTCTTGTGGCGAAGAAGCACGAAGCAAAACCCAACATGGCTTCCATGGCTGAAAAATATTGAAAAGCTGCGCGCCTTGAGTCTTTGAGCTGTTGTTTTTTGCATCTCTGAAGCCCAGAGTTGGAGCTTGGCTGTGAGGCCTGCTGCGCACCGGACGATCTGACGGCTGGGTGGGGGCCACCCCCGGAGGCCTGCTCGGGGAAGCTTCATGTTCGAACATTATACTCTAATTATCTAGTTATCATAAGGAACCCCCAAAACCGCCCAAACCCTATTCTAGTTATCAAGGTTTTTAGAGTAGAGGGGCTCGCAGCTGCTTTGTACATCGACAAACGGAGTTGACAGCCCCCGCTACCCGGGCCCTGAAGCTACGACTTGAGTTGCGCTTATACCTATATACAAAAATCGAAGTCTTGTTGGAGAGCACGGGGAACTGCGGGAGGAGAGGGAAGGGAGGGCGACGGTTTTTCAGCGAGCAAGCAGCAGCAATCATTTCATGTCTATGTGGATGGTTGATGAATGCTCGCGGGGGCATGATCTATACTTGCACAAGAGCCGAAGTAGACAGGCTTCGTTCGTCCCCCTCTCGACAGGCCGTGGAGACACTGACGAGTCCCGGGAGCCATTCGGGACCGTGGTGGCCCCTGAGACCCAAATCTCAAAAGAGTTAAAACAATGAGAGTTAGATTTCTTGGCACCGCACTTCCTCCATGGTCCATTGCTCCTTCGCTTGTGATTGAGACGAGCCCTATTTCCTGGCTCGTTGCGAGGAGGTTTGGGAACCCCAGAGCTTACAGCTCCATCTCAACCGCCTCCGGCGCAAGACCTGCCCCAGGGTAGAGACAGCCCCCGAAGCCCCAAGTATGATTCATGTCCCAGCAAACCAAAAGCAATGCAGAGTCTTACTTGTGCTCTTGGCCCGTCTGTCGTCCTAACATTAGAGAAGATAAATTAAGACAAAACGAAAAGTATCCATCCCCAAGCCATAGCTGGATTCGCTAGAGTTGTGCATTGTGCATATATAGATCCACCCCCCCTTTGTCAGCCATCGCCAGCCAGCGTGCCCTTCTTTCACTCGGTCGTAGGAAGCCCTGAAACTTGAGCCTCCCAGAAACGGTGGGTGCTACACCACCAAACCCTCAACCCCTAAACCCCCTAACCCCAACACCCTTAAGTATCGCCAGGCTTGTCCCAGTTGTGAGTGCTGAAGCCCTTAATCATCCCAAATCATGAGGGCTCGTCCTAGCTAGGTGGAGGCAAACCCTAAACCCCTAAACCCAAAACTCCTAAACCCCTAAACCCTAAACTCCTAAAGCCCTAAACCCTAAACTCCTAAACCCGCAAACCCTAAACCCAAAAGGCCCCTGGTCAGGACCCTTCCAGCAGCTCCGGGAGCTCCGCGCAGAGCTCCGAAAGGCCCGGCAAATGTCCGGAAATCCTGGCCGCAGGGCGGAAAACCAGGGCCGCTCGCCGGAAGGCGGGGTTAAGGGTTGAGGGTTCGTGGAGGTTCGAGGGTTTGATGGTTTAGGGTTTAGGGGTTTTTAAGGTTTGAGGGTAGCTAGAGAAAGGGCACGAATTTTAAAGCGTCGCCAGACGTCGAGTCCCGAAACCCTATGTGCCCAAACTGGAGCTAAGGCACAGCAAACTGGGATCAGCTTCGACAGTGGGTCGAGGCGCAGCTGGCTCTACCAGCCAGTGAAGGAGGTGCGACATCTCAAGAGTCGGAGAAACAGCTCAGCCGTCGACTGTTGAACTATTCCGTAGGGTTCCATGGAACAGTGAAGTTGTAGCCTAGTACATCATTAAAATGTTTCGGGCCACCCTTAACCCCCAAACTCAGTCCGAGGTCGTCAGAAGCTCTTTCCCGAGCTCGACCTCCTCGTGTCCACGCGCGCCTGCGTGCCTTGGCTTCGGAGCTTCGCTGCGGATGAACGGCTTTGTGGTGTAGGATGAGGACGGCCTCGATGCTACCATGAGTCGTCGTCGTCACCGTAGCCACAGCCGTGGCCGCAGAAGAAGAGGACGAAGAAGAAGAAAAACCAGAAGAAGAAGAAGAAGTAGTAGTAGTAGAAGTAGAAGTAGTAGTAGTAGAAGTAGTAGTAGTAGTAGTAGAAGTAGAAGTAGTAGTAGTAGTAGTAGTAGCAGCAGCAGTAGCAGTAGTGGTAGCCCGCCGCCCAGCTTCGTTCAGTCCACGGCCCACGGCCACAAGACCAGGCGTTCATGACATGTCTGTGCAGGTCTAGATGATTCGCGAACGTTACTATTGGCAAACCATGCATGAAACCAACGAACTTCGGGGCATACGATAAGTTTCAACGAAGGTGGGCCCGCAAATGGAGTTGCCATGGTTCCTTCTCGGCGGACGTGCAGAAGATGCTGGTGTTGAGCTGGCGTCACGGCCTCCCGGCAGGGTTACGGGCAAACTCAGGTTTCCTTCGAAATGCAGACAAGGAGTCTACACAGAGAGTGTACTATCAGGACTACAAAACAATCCCATGGTGGCCCTCAACCTCAAACTAAACCCGCTCCTTTCTTGCATGTGAACACCCTGAAGCAAGTGGCAGACCGAAGACTGGGTTTCAAGTGCTCGGTGCTGAGGCGGCATGAGGAACCTCTCCCTTTCGGTGCATGCTGTTTTTGCTGTGTTCTGCATCTTCCACAAACGCTTCTTTCATTTCTAAGCAACCCATTGCACATAGTATGCTCGAAACTACATACGGCTTGTCGGCAGGCCCCAAGGATTGGCGCATGTACATCGCTGAGCAAGCTAAGCTTGTATTGCGTGATCGCCGGAAAAGTTCGTTGACTTTCGTTTGGGCCAGTCGGCTGGCGTGGCAAGAACGCCCGACAGGAACCTGTCTGTAGTTATGCCACACACACACACGCTCCCTCTCTGTCTCTGTGTGCATGTATATACCATATACGTGTATATGTATATAGATACATTGTTTTCATACACATACATACACATGTGCACAGATACGCGCGCGTATATCCTTTGCCATAATGAGGAGTGGAGCCTTGTGTGGGCCCGGCTTGCCGGTGGCCGGAGAGCTGGTGGGGCCGAATAGTTTGTTCAGATTCCCCTTCCCCTTGGGACTTTCCGAAAATAAGGGATACCGTATTTTGGGGTGTTTCTAATAAGGATCCTACTATTTAGGGTACTATATTGGGTCCCCTATTTTGGGAAACCCCCTTGTCACGATCTTGGTGCGCCTTGCTTTTGAGAGGTACCGTAAACCGTAGCGGGAGCAGTTAGGGTGGGTACACATTACAACTCAATTCGCCCCACACTTTTGGTATGATGACCATCATCTACCGCAGACGTGACGGCTCGAATGATAGTTAAGCGTCACGGAATCAAGAGCCCAGTAAAGTATACTATGGCAGTAGGTAACACATGCTCCAATAGCAAATCGTGATGACTTAGTTCTTTGTTCATTGGACCAAAAACCAACTCTTGAGGACGACCATGTTTCAGTCTGTTGAGGCCAACTGCGCATTGCATGCACTCAGCAAGTGTATGATTGAAAGACGCGAGGCACGTATCAGCGGACTCCTGGTCAGTAGTCCACGGAAGTTCTCCCACAGAACTCGAATGGCAGATCCAGAAAGACTGAGTGCGGAGTTTGCGAGGAGCCCGAATGCATCTCCAGTTGTGAGAACTCAAGCCCAGAACCCAAAGCCCCAAACCAACCACTGAGACCCCAGATGATCTTAATCTCAGCACGTGAAACCCGGAACCGCCGAACGCCAACGCCAGAAATCGGAAGTTGCCAGGTCTCCCGTCCCGGCCGCCGAGCTACGGTGCCCAGCCGTGGCATCGAGGAGACTCCGGGCCTGGGTACTCAGAGGTTTTCTAGGAAATCCCAAACCCGTTTCTAGGAAATCCTAAACCCGAAACTTTGGGTTTCGAGGCTTGGGAGGGCTTAAAGGTTAAGGCTACGGATCTCAGGCAGAGAGAAAGGAAGGTTTTGAGGGTTTCAGGATTGAAGCTGGAGGGTTGCGATTACGGTCAGTTCGAAAATTTGCACACTCGTCATATATATGATTGCGTTGCCCGACGAGTCCTTCCTTCTGAGACTTCTGGGCCAGAAGCAGCCTCCCACAGTCGGAAGGTAAAGCAAAAGCAGAGTGTGCCTTGAGTGATCTTGAGTGTCCAAACCCACAGCCTAGACTTTGCGGGTTCGAGGTTCCCACCTAAGGCCGGTCAAGAAACCCTAAACCCAAGCCTTAGAACCCAACTACCCTAGATCGTCATAGTTACACCTCAAAGCCCATCCTAGAGCCTTGACAGAAACTCAGAAGTGCATCCAAGAACCCTAGGCCCTAGAACGGACTCCGCCAAGGGCTCCATCGCTTGGAGGCGTACGGCCTCGAGCTCATGGCCCCCCTGCCTGATTCAGTCCTTCAAAGACTAGCGACGAATATTGCGGTTATCTGATTCTCGCATCAGAATCAAGGAATGAAGCAGCAATAGACGAGTGCATACACATACTTTCTTGTACGTAAATTTAATTAAGTATACACACATGCACATACATATACATATAC